TCTCTCTCTCGCCTGGAACAGCTGCTGTGGGGCGGACGATTCAGAGGGTGGGGCTGGTCGACGGAAGTTGGGGCGGTGCTAGGGGGTGCTGCGCGGCGGCCTGAGGTCAGCAGCTCCGGCGGCGCGGCTGTTCCGGCGTGAACAGTGGCCGGCGGAGCAGAATGACGGAGGAGCGGCGTGAAGAGGACGATTGTGAAGGCTGGCTGGGGGAGAGAGAACGTGAGCTGAGAGGAACTGAGGAGAGGGAAGAAACAAGTCAAAAGTGGTCAAACTTGGGTGAGTGGAATCCAAGTGTCAACAATCCAAGGGTTTGGACAATTTGCCCTTGAATCCAATGGCTTAGGTTCACTCCTCTCCAATAATGCAAGGGTGAGATGGTCAAATGCCCCTAACCAAGGCTGACCAGGTCTGGTTTGGTCCACTTAACCTTAGTTAGTCCCCAAAATTTATCCAAATTTCGGAATAAATTAAAATGGCCTAGGGGCATTTTCGTAATTTTCCGATCCCGGACCGAAATTTCAATTTTTGTCCATACCGGTCCTATATGTTCACGGGAGACATAATACGGTGTCGGATTCGCGAAATTCACTTTCTAAGCCTTCGAAAATCGCTTGCGAAGTCCCGGGAATAAAATAATATTATTTTTCCAATTTTTGCCGAAATTCCCGTTTTTGTCCAAAACCACTCTAAATGTACGTGGCCACTCCAAAATGACCTTGGCCGTGAAAAATAACCTCAAACGGCCCCCGAATCCAGCCCCAGTGTCCACGGGGGCAAAACCGTAATTTTCCCACTTTTTGTCGAAATTCCTATTTTCAGCCGTTCTTGTCCCAAACTTACTTGGCCACTATAAAATGACGTCCGTCCTACAAAATAGTCATAATTACCCTTGAAATTTTGATATCGAAGTTCGGCTCAATATCGCGATCAAAATAGCTCGTTTTGAAATCTTAGGATCTCTCACTAACGGGTGGCTGTTTAGGTGTTACGCGTATCGACCTAAGACTGTCCGAGTCTCGATAGTCTCAATCTCGAGAGAAGGTAAGAGATTATCACTAGTACCGGCGGTCGCGATCGTTTGGATAAAATTTGGAATTTATTTGTCAAGCGTACTTTCGGTCGTGCGGAATCACACGCGATCCAATCGTACGTTACTAACTATATCAAATCCGTTATCTTCCTAAGATCGGCCCATATTGGCTCAAGATATTCCCTCGAAGTTTCTCAAAATCAGTGTTCAATCGCGATTGGTTTCTCGGTCCACGTACCTATTCCTATTTAGCCTTCCCCATTTGGTTAGTATCCCGTGATTGATCAAGTCCGGGCGAGGCTCACTAAAATCACACGAGAATTAATATACGCTTTACTGGTTCCGATAACGGGTCAAAATTCGGGATGTTACACCCTAGGTGCATCAGCAACTCTAAAGTGGGACATTTTAGCTTTAATTTGGAGTGCGCATCCATTTAACTTCTTCAAATCCGATTTTGACAAGCTTTTGGCCTCATCTGGATGCAGTTCCATATTGTCGAGGCAAGAAATTTCCGAAAATACATAACCAAGGAACTGAGTTTAGTGTACAGTTTCTAGGCTTGAAGAACCTACGATGAACACCCTCGTTCTCACCACCAGCTACGTACAAGCAGTTTTTTATGACACATGAACCAAAGAAATGCCGTCTCCAAAGCATGTCGGCGGCACGGTGCCATTTATTTGTCCTCGCATTATAAAAAACTACTTGTCTCATTGAGCTCTTTCAGTGGGTCTTGACCTTAATGCGGCTTAATTGCCGGAGAAAGGTAGTAGGAGAGTGATAGTTAGCTAAAGAGTACAGAAGAGTCCTAGAGGAAAGGACAAGGGGGAAGAGGGGATCATAATCGATCACTTGCATAAACTGAGTCACAAGAATGTATTTGTCTGGAACATGAAGGGGCTAATGAATTTGGTGCGGTATGGGAACCTCACGACACTAGATGAGTAGATATCTGGTGATGATGATGAATCTTCGAAGCAACAAAATAGCGAAAGTGAGGTGAGAGGTATGGCGAAGAAAATTTTCCAAGATGTGACTTAGCAGGGATCTAGATGCGCCTCATTATTGTGATCTTTTAAATTTTTTTGTTCTACTCTTTCCTTGTCCTAATGATCCCTAACCGTGTCATCGTCTTGGCCATATTAATCCTTTATATTACAGTAGGCCAAACTATTCGAGAAGAAGCCCCGAACTTTATCTTATCAATCAATTTTGGCATCATTTTGTAAAATTATTTTCGGAGCTGAATAGTCTGCTCTGCTAAAATTCAGAACTACCCATTCTCCATTAATCCATGCCGTGTCTTTCCATTTATGTTCTCTTTGTATCTCTATCAGCTCTATAAACTTCTTAGTCACTAGTCTAGTTTTTTATCGATCTTTTGACTTGCTGTTTCATGTCGGGCACATATGCCTAGAGGACTTGATGCGATTTATGCCAGAAGATGAGGCTGTTAAGACAACGAGTCTACTTGAAAGAGTATCTGAGAGCCAAAAAATTAGCAAATCATCCTTAAAAAGCTGGGTGGTAAGAGATCATAGAAAGTATCTAACGTTGTTGTCTTGACTCTTTTGGCACTTGATTGAAAGGTTGGTAGAAGTCAAATGAGGTCGTGTATAAGAAGAAGGAAATAATGACAATGTAATTCTGAGGTAAGTCATGGGATGTTGATATATAATTAAGAGATAACTAATTGTGACCTCATCTGTGGCCCTTGACAACCGACCAGCCTAAAAGTATCCAATGCGTCACAATGGGAACCTCTCAGCCTTTGTGTCTAGGATTGCATTTAAATGGTCATTTAAGGTTCAATGAAAATGCAGCAATTTGTTCAATGTCTCACCAAAGTATTGAGCAAGATAACTTTTTATCGTATAAAATAAAACCTTAGAAGGCGCCAGTTGTTATAGATTTAACATATATTAATCTAACTTGTCGAACCAAAGTTCAATAGATTAATCTCTAGAAATCTAGTTAGTTTAGTGGCTGTTAAGGTAATAGATCCTGCTCTTGATGTGAAAGGATGAATAATTATTGCTAGTTATGAGTGCTCATGAGCAAAACTTCTTATTGAATTAATATTTTCAAAGTTGGGTCAAAGCACTCTCTAGTTTTAATTTAGATGCAAAATAAGACCATTTTCTATTGCTCAAATAGCAAAAAACTAGTTTGCGCTTTTTAAAAAATGTTGATATAATGAAACCAATTTATTGCACGAGGCTTATAAATGCAATCTTCTTGAATTGGAGCTACTCGATTACAATGTCTATCTAATTGTGTTGAACTTCTATAGTTGCAGTGTCCACTAATTGAGCTGTAAGTTTCCATTTGGATGTACTGCAAGTTATGCTTTCAAAGAACTAAGAGCACTAACTTTGATGCATGGATGGTACTAAGGCAGTTGTGAACAAACTCCATCGGATGGTGAATATTCTAGTTGGCATACTCATAGCCATTATATGGCTCGTTATACTAGGAATTGCCACGACAAAGTTTCTGCTTCTAATAAGCTCCCAATGGCTGCTTGTGCTTTCCATATTTGGAAGCTCCTACAAGATGACATTTCAAGCGATTATTTTCTTGTTAGTGATGCATCCATTTGACGTAGACCATCATTGTAAAGTCAATGGGGTCCAGGTACACAAGTGAATAGAGCTACGTGCTTTCAACGAGATGTTCAAAATATATTTTTTAAACATGATGCACTCGTGTTTCAAATGGTGGTAGAAGAGATGAACATCTTAATGACTGTTTTCCTAAGATATGACAACCAGAAAGATAATAATTCCGAACATTGTTATTGCTACCAAGGCCATCAGTAACTACTATCAAAGTCCTAATATGGAAGATGCAATTGAATTCTGTGTGCATATATCTAAACCAATTGAGAAGATTGCCACGATGAAATAGAGAATAACAAGAACAATGTTTGGAATTCAACTACATCTCCCATATCAGGACTTCGATAGTAGTAACTGATGGTCTTAGTAGCAAAAACCATATTTGGAATTATCATTTTCTGGTTATCGTATCTCAGGTAAATAGTTGTTAAAATAATCATCTCTACCACCGTCATCTGAAACACACTGCATCATGGTTTAGAAACATATATTTTGAACATCCGTTGAAAGCACAAAGCTCTATTCGCTTGTGTACGTGGACCCCATCGACTTCATAACGATCGCCCACGTCAAATGGATGTATCACAAACAAGAAAATAATCGCTTCAAATGTCATCTTGGAGGAGTTTCCAAATATGAATACCACAAGTAGCAATTGGGAGCTTATGAGAAGTAGAAACATTTTCACGGCCAATCCTAGAATAAGGAGCCACATAACAGCTATGATGATGCCAACTTGAATGTTCATCATCTGATGGAGTTTGGTCACAATTGTCTTGGTATCATCCAGAGTCAAAGCTAGTGCTTTTCGTTCTCTATAAGTGGTACCCTACATTACATCCAAATACTAACTTAAATCTCAATTAGTGGACACTGCAATTATAGAAGTTGAACACATGTAAATAGACATTGTAACTACTTCATCAACGTAACTCCAATTCGAGAAGATTGCATTTATAAGCTTAGTGTAATCAATTGGTTTCATTATGTCCACATTTTTAAAGAAAAACCAACTAGCTTTTTTGCTATTTGTGCTATAGAAAATAGTCTCATTTTGCATCTAAATAAAAACTTCAGAGTTTTGTGAGCCGACTCTGAGAATATTCATTCAGTAAGAACTTTTGCTCATGAGCACTCACAACTAGCAATAATAATTTCCCCTTTCGCATCAAGAGCATAATATGTTATCTTTACATCCATTAAACTAACTAGATTTTTAGAGATTAATATGTTGAATTTTGGTTTGACAAGGTTGATCAACATTTGGAAAATTTCAAAATGTGACACAGTCAGGGTTCATCAGGACAGTGAAAGAGTAGAACAAATAAATTTAAAAGATCACAATAATCAGGGTACTTGGATCCCTATTGAGTCACATTCTGGAAAATTTCCTTCACCGTTGCTCTTGCCGCACTTTGTTTGTATATTTGCTTTGAAGATTCATCATCATGACAAGATATCTGATCATCCAGTGTTGTGAGGTTCCCATACTCACTTGCTCCTTTTGGCAGATCAAATAAATGTTGCCTTGAAATATGTAGATCTAACTCTGAAATCTGGCTATATGTTGTTGATGGAAGTATTCTCTGAATGTATACAAAGTTGTGTTAAGAAAGGCAAGTTGGACACATTGGTGTTGATAATTGAGAGGTGCAAGGTATGCCATTAACATGTTCGGTCCTGATCCTTGAAGTTCTGCACTTATATATGTGCATTTCTTGGTTTGTCCTTTCCATTTGTGACTTTGTTCATGCCAATGTTCTTAGGCAATGGATCAAAATATAGCTCTTTGTCCACCGTGGAGTGTATGCAACTATATTGTTGAAATTGCGATGCAAGATGACAATAGCAAATTAGCATTTTATGCATTGGAATTTATGGTGAAATGGATTGCTAGAGGCGAGATGGCAAGGCCTCCTGTTCATCTTTCCATGGATGAAGGGCTGGTTTTATCGGCACTTGGAATTGCTAGAAGAACATGTAGTTCTACTCTCCTAGATGCTTCTTGGGCAATCGTGCGACGGTCTTTACGGCAAAAGAATACACCTAGTCCAGCTTCGTACATATGCTCTTCCCTGGCTGGGCAATTTACAGAGGGCCTTTAGTACGTTGCATGAGGTTGAGACTGCCTATGGAAATCTTTAGGAGCAAGCTGAAGATCTTTTCTCTCCATTTACATCTCTAAATCCATTGGTGGTTGCATGCAATTATGAGTCCAAAAGTTTTCATCCACTAAGTGTCCATGCCATGTTTGTGTTCATTGAAATCCTAGATTTAACCTAACCATTCTAAAAAAAGGAAAAACCACAATCAATGTATTAAAAGTGTGCAATAAAGTAAAATCGAAATAAAAGTGCACAAACAAAGACTGCTAAGATCGTCTCTAAAAGAAAAAGCAATAAAAAAATCCCTATGGTAAAGCTCCAAAGGTTTATTCAATTTTGAATCAAATTTTGTTTAAGCCCAAAATGTTTCTTAAAAGCCCTAAACTAAATGAATTTTAATTTTTTTTAGCTTTTCCCACATTTTTATATTTTCCTGAATTTTCTGAATTTTTTTATTCTTATTTTTTATTATTGAAAAAGGGACTTCGGACCGGGTCAGGGGAACCCAGTCCAAATGGCCAGTCTAACTGTGGGTCTTGCTCGGACCACAGAGGTCCAGGTTGGGTCTGATTTTCGGATCACTCTGGGCCCAATCTAAATATAGCCAACTTATCAAATTTTGTCCAGATTCAATACCAATTTCGGTCGGCCCATTGTTTATCTTTATCTGATCCATATCTCTCAATCTTATAACACCCGGCCCAGATCAATTAATCATATCCGACCTGACCTCTTTATTATACCCTTTTTTATTTTTCTATTTTATTTTTATTATTTCTTTACTTATTTTCTGTTCTTCTTCACCGTATATCTCATGCCGGAGCTTCAGCCAGATGTTGACAGCCGACATCACCATCCACCACCAGAACCATCCCGTCACAGTGGAAAAATCTCATAACAAAATCAAGTATAAAATGAGGATTGGAATCCATGTTATGCAAACGGTGAATGAGTGGATTGTAACCATTTCCGACGCAAACGCACAACCATAAGATAGAATTAGATGAATATACGACACTATCAGTCTCATACATAGTGGATTTCAGCTTGGTTTAATCTTATTCAGAAAATTGGACTCTCGGCTACCTATCTACATAAGACAGAATGTAACAGAGGATAAGAGGAGAGAGTTTTACCTGGTTCGTGGCTGCGAAAAGGCGATCGACGACGAAGTCAGAAATCGTCGGACAATGTGGTGGCAATAACCAGTAAGATGAATCGCCAAACTCGACGACGATCGGTGGTCAAAAAATCATGATCTCTCAGGCCGACTCGGCTCAGTGAAAGAAAATGCAAATCTGAGAATGATTCTCTCCTTGTGTGTATATCAGACCGGAATTTTCGACTTCAACCCCTCTTGATCGATCCAAACCGATTCCCGTACATCCTCTTCCAAAGGCCAATTTTCAACGAGGAGGAAGAGGAGTGACCTTGCCGATGATCACGTGACCGTAGGAAGCTGCGACAGGGATGGAGCCACGGCGGTGTAAGGTGGTGGAAGCGGCAGAAGGCCGGCGGCGCCAGGACGTGAGTTTTTGAAAGAGCGATTGCCCCACGTCGTCTCCCTTCCCCTCTTTTCTCGAGTGCGTGGGCTCTCTCTGATGCGAACTGCGGGCGCCTGCTTTCTATTTTGTGAGGAGTCTCTATCCCTAAACAGATTCTGTTAGAGATAGACATCCATTCCACGTCAATCTCTATCCCAAAACAGATTGATGTTGTTCGTGATGTTACTGGCATAAGCTAATTTTGAGTGCTCACTTCATGTAGTTATGCTGATTTTGGCTCTCGGAATTTTGAAGGCTCTGATCTTCCCCCACTTCCCCTTGTTAGGCATAAACTGTACTGTAACCATTTATCTTTGCTTTTCTTTTGTATGTTTTTCGATTCCGCCTTTTTGAGTTTTGATAGAATTAGATCTGTTAAACGGATGGGTCGGGTCGGATCGAGTTTGGATTTGGTTATAAATGGTCCAACCTAACTTGACCCATTTAACCCATTTATAACCCATTTGTTACAAGACAAAAATCTTGACCCATACCCGACCCGACCCATTTAACTAAATTTAGGAAAGCTTATTTTGGATAATTATTTTTAAAAAAATGGTATTGCTAAAACATCTTCATGCAATACAAATCTTTTCAAAAAAATTGAGACTCCTTTTGTTTTGCGGAAAATATAACATTTCTGAAAAATATTTTTAGGAAATTGACAATATTTTCCAATATTTGGCTAAAATGTGGAAATGAACTAGAAAATATTTTCTACCGTTTGGTATGCAAAAATCATATTTTCCTCTATGCACTCATTTTAATATTTTTTTTATTTTTTTATTTTTTTAAAAATCATATTTTAATTAAATTTATTTTCTTTTTCTTTTTCCTTTTCTTTTTTTCTTCTTCCCCCGCCGGCAACCGGCCATGGGCAAGGGATGAGCTTGTTGGCCTCTGGCAAGACTCGAGCTCGCCGAGCAGGGCTGGTGCTGGCCTCGGCGAGCTCGAGTCTCACCAGAGGCCGGCGAGGCTTGTCCCTCGCCTATGGCCGGCCACCGGCAAGGGAAGAAGAAAAAAGAAAAGGAAAAAGGAAAAGAAAAAAACAAAAAGAATATAAAAATTTAAAAATATCAAAAAAATTAAAAATTTGAAAATTTCACTTAAGCTTTTTGGGTAACCCATTTATGACCCATTTAATACCCATGTAAGACCATTAAGTAAAAAAAAATAACTCATTAATGACCTATTTAAGTCTATTTTTAAAACTTAACCCAACCCATTTATAACCCACAATCATTAAATATGAGTTATTATATGGATTCTTGACCCGTTTACCACCTCTAGACAAAATGGATCTAGCATGTTAGTCTTTAGAGCCAGTAATTTTGTTTCCCTTTTTACGTCCTCTTCTCTGTATGAGAACCTCGGAGGGACGGTGATGCAAATCTTGCGAGGTAATTGGTTGATGATGTTTGCAAAAATTAGTTCCCGGTTCATATCTGCTTTCCATAAATCGATCTGTTGATCTTCCCTCTTGAGCTTGTTAGGTTGGTGGTAAGGAAAGAGAAGCCCCGGTCAATTGAACTATAGCTCTAGTCTCTTACTGCATCTGCATGACAACGAAAAGAAGAAACCATTTTGCAAAAGCGAATAGTTTGATTAGATACTATCACTACAAAAAAACATATTTTTTCCGATGAAATTTCCAACGAAAAATTTGAAAAAATTCGTTGGAAAACGAATTTCCAACGAATTTTCCAACGAAAAAAAATTCGTTGGTAATAAGTCGTCGCAAATTTTTCCAACGAAAAATTTCAATTTTCGTTGGAAATTTGCGACAAATTTTTTTTCGTTGGAAAATTCGTTGGAAAACTCGTGGCTAAATTCGTTGGAAACGAATTTTTTTTTCCGACGAATTTTTTTTCGTTGGAAACTAAAAATTTTTTTTTGGTCGAATTAAAAATCGTGGAAATTTTTTTTCCATCAAAAAAAAAATTTTGGTCGAAATTTTTTTTTTTATCGAAAAATAGCCCTCGCCGCCGGCGAGGGCCAGCCTCGTCGCCGGCGAGGGCAAGCCTCATCGTCGGCGAGGGCCGAGCTCGCCCAGATCTGGGCGAGCTCGAGCTCGTCGCCGGCGAGGGCAGAGCTCGCCCAGATCTGGGTGAGCTCGAGCTCGCCGGCCATGGCGAGCTCGGCCCTCGCCATGGCCGAAGATGAAGAAGAAGCAGCAGCAGCAGCAGGGGCGGGAGCAGCTCGGGGCTGCCGCCCGTCAAGTCCGTCGTCGTCTCCTAGCCTCGCCGGCGACGAGGCTTGGTGGCGTCGGGGGCGTCGGGGCCGTCGGGGGCGTCGGAGGCTTGTAGGCTAGGTGTCCATGGCGCCGGAGCTAGAGCCGGAGCCGGAGGAGGAGGGGGGGCGGCGGAGGAGGAGGCGGAGGGGGAGACGCAGGGAGAAGGTGAAGGCGAAGGAGAGAGAGAGAGAGAACGTGGAAATTGAAAGTTGTGGGAATAACGAGCGCGAAAATTTTGAATAAGGAAGAAGTAGGGTTTTCGTTGCAAAATTCGTGGGAAATTTCTCATGAATTTTGCAACGAAAATTGTACACATTAAAATAATTTCCCAGAAAATTAAAATTCGTTGGAAAATTCGTTGGAAATTTCCAACGAATTTTCCAACGAATATAAAAAATGCCAAACATTATCGGGTTTTTTTTGTAATTCGTTGGAAAAATCGTTGGAAATTTCCAACGAATAAAATTCGTTGAAAATTTCCAACGAATTTTCCAACGAAAATTGTATACACTGAAATAATTGTCCGGAAAATTGAAATTCGTTGGAAAATTCGTTGGAAATTTCCAACGAATTTTCCAATGAAAATTGTATACACTGAAATAATTGTCCGGAAAATTGAAATTCGTTGGAAATTTCCAACGAATTTTCCAACGAATATCAAAAATGCCGAACAGTAACGGGTTTTTTTGTAATTCGTTGGAAAATTCGTTGGAAATTTCCAACGAATTTTCCAACGAAAATTGTACACACTGAAATAATTACCCGGAAAATTGAAATTCGTTGGAAAATTCGTTGGAAATTTCCAACGAATTTTCCAACAAATATAAAAAATGCCGAACAATAAGGGGTTTTTTTGAATTCGTCGCAAAATTCGTTGAAAATTTCCAACGAATTTTTTTTCGTTGGAAATTTCCAACGAATTTTGCGACGAAAATTTTTTCGTTGGAAATTTCCAACGAAATTTGCGTCGAAAAATTTTTCGTTGGAAATTTCCAAAGAATTTTACTTTTCGTTGGAAAATTTGTCGCAAATTTGCAACGAAAATTTTTTCGTCGCAAATTTTCGTGGCAAAAATCCAGTTTTTTTGTAGTGATATATCATACAGCATTCAATTGCATGTTGGTCCATGGGCTGCCTCTTGAGGTGGAGGAACAGAATGCTCCGCGAGGGAAGTGATTATTTGATTTCGATGCTTGGACAGGAGAAGAAGATAAACATTGACGATATATTATTGTTGCACTAGGCTCAGAGGATACGCCATTGACTGGATTTTACATCTGTTATTAT